TTTCACTGCACGAATTGGTAATGTTTTTTGTTTAAGTCCGCTTTACAACAGCTGTAGTCATGAGCCGCCATAGCGATTTACATTATTTCACAGTTTTGAGATATAAAAAATATTACTAGTCGTAAAGGGAAACGTAATTTGGAACAATTACAATTTTTAAGAATATTTAATAACAATTTTTTAAATATCTTACAAAATGTTCATTTTATTATTATATTCGTAACACCGAACAATGGTATGTAAATTTATTCATATCACCCTTTTTTCACATTATGATTTGAAAGGAAACAATAAAACGATAATAAAAGGGCAGCAAGTGAATGATTTTTAAAACTATAATGATTTAACGAAAGAGTACGCATACAGCTCTCATTTTAAAGAAACGTTTTCTGGTATAGAAGAAATATAAGCGTGTTCCAAATACAATACTTTACTTGAGAATAACAAAGTTTACTACATTGATAATAAATACAATGTTTCGATGTAAACTAAATTTTAAAACTTTCTTTGCTTTTGTCACTATGTGAACATATACTATTACTTTCCTATGACACGTTTTGCTGTTCGTTTAAATGCTGCCAGTATTCTGGTTGAGCCGTTTGTATTCTACGTCTGTGTCTTCCTGGAATTAATATCAAGAGAACACTTGACTTTTGCATCAAGAAAAAACAAAGTGGTTGAAGGCTATCTGGATACAGAAAGATATCGAATGTGGATATGATAAACATATACCAGTGTGTCGGAATCGTCACTACTCATTTGAAGATTATATACGTGTGGTTGTGTCCAATGGAGCAATTTTTAAAGTCCGTATTATTCATGTCTGAAAAAGTGAATGTGTGAACGTGTGATTTGAATACTAGAAGATAATGCAGTTTCTCGTCTTATTACCTGTCTTTATTTGCTTTTTGTTTCTTATGCCAGGTATGTGAGAGAATTCTAGCCACAAGAATCAGCAAGCGAAGGTTTTATAGAAATGTAAATGTAATATTTTCTCTTGACAAGGAGAATTTGTCACTTTATTTGATATAGGATCAGCTCCTTGAATTGTGTTGGTGGTGAAGGCCGGGGTTTATTTCACGAGAAATTTTCACTCAATCAGGATTCGAAAAAATACATCCATCCTGAAAGACACGACGAAGAAGATAAAATAAGAGTTTCACATGCCGTAGACAATGAAACGTCAGCCTACTAATTTGCAAATGACACAGTCAGCCTATTTTGATAATTAATTTTATGTATTAAGGGGATTTACATTTTCTTCTTTCTGCAATCATGTCGATATATGTGGCATGTGTGTTTACGAAAATTCTTCAACATTTTGGGCATGTTGTGAATTAAAAATAAAATTCAAAGTTAAAGAAAAGAAAAGATGTAATATTACATCCACTGCATATTAGCCATACGTTGAAAACGCATCTTGTGAATATTTTTTTTAATTTAGCACTTTGTAGGTAATTACGAATATTTCCACAAGTGTCAGGAAGAAATAGAACATTTTGAAGGGGCAATCACTCACGGCCGTTCTTACATGTGTGTACTGTTTCTTTCATAAACAGTCTACCCACACTATCTGGTCCCAGAAATCTTGTTGCCTTCGTAATCTTGTTTTGCGAAACTAAATTTCGTTTTAAGAATCAAAATTTTTCTTCGTCAGTCGTTTACTACATATGTTTCAAGTATTTGAATAAATATACTCTTTTAAACACTGTTTTGCTTTATCTTCTGTTATCAATGTTTTCTCTGAATCATCTCTGATAGCAGTTACAGGAAACAAACATTGTGATAACAGTCGCGTACTATTGATGTTTGAACCATATGCAGCTCGTATTCACAGGTGCCAACGATGCACAATGATTTACAGGTGTCATAGTTTTCATTTTGTTAATACAACTATGTGATACTTGCATTAAATTTTGCGCAATTTAGTATTCAAATAAGAAGTTACGTGTTCATAGAGTGAACACTGAACACTTTCAAGTAAGTTCGTTGAATATGTGCGAATTATATTATATTAAATGTGCATATTATAGCATATTTGAATGAGTGCAAACCAGAACGGTATAAGTGACATTTTATAAATTCCGAAAAAAAACTGTTTAGTTAATTGAACGATGTTGTAAAGTGCTTTTTTTCATCATTGATACCACAGCATTTCAATTGTTCATTAAAACCACGAAATTACATTGCCACTGATATATAGCCTAAAGTAAACACATTTTTCTAAGACTCTATAGATGTCATTTATACTGTTCTGGTTTTAAACCATTCAAATATGATATTATATGCAGATTTAATATAATATAATTCGCAAATATTCAACTAACTTGTCAATGAATCTTCAGTGTGCACACCATTTGTTTTATTTGTAGCCTTTCCTTCTTGCACAATGTTACTACGGCTGTTGCGTCGTCATTTTCAGGTATTGAACATTTGTTTAAAATGTTAAATATTAGACTCATGAATAATTTAAAGAACTATAAACCGATAAAAAAGTTAAATTTGAAATTGTTATATTCTTAAATATCACGAAAGACTTAAATTTTGTTTAAAGTTTATCTTGTGTATTACAAATTACTTAATACAAGATAAACTCTTTTTACTGTCTTATTTTTCTTTAAATATTTATTTTTATATTTTTAAATAAATCTTCATTACCTGAAGATATCGACGGTACAGTCGTCGGAAAGTTGTGCAAAAAATAGGCCATAAATATAATAAGTAATGATGAATTAATTTACATGATCTTGTTATAAATCATTTAACAATTTATATATTATAAATAAAATTTTCTTAAAATTTGGATCTATCACTACTATAAATTTTAATTTTATTTATAAAAAGATTTGAAACAGTTTATCAAATAAATTCAAATTAGTTTTTTGTTTGAACCATTTATCGAAAAATGTATAATTGTATTGAATATTAAATGACGGCTTTCTTACGCAAATTAAGGTTTTGCGAACAAAAACATCTTTAAAAAATCAAAAACCGACAGCTATCCATTTTAATATTTCACATTGATACCCACACAGATCCATTACTTCAATTTCAATTCAAGAATATCATGAAGGTATATTTAAATTTCACAGATATAATATGATACATTTTATCATAACTAGATTTGCAATGAATCTGATAGATTATCACGGCCTCACATTCATACTTCACAGACACAAAATATAAAAAATATTTATTCACCTTTGTTTCTATATCATGATGCAATGTATTACATTCAGAGTAAATTTAATTATTGTGCTTTTCATTTTTCAATGTAAGCAATGTATTTCAGGTCTGGCAGAAAACGAAGACGCTGGAGCGATTTCTGTTATCGCTTTGAATAAATCGACGACGCCGGTGCCTATTATTTCTCGGGGACTCAATACTTCATTTTCTACGCTATCTTCCTTCATAGCGACTGTGGAACCTACGATAAGAAATGAAGACACTGGTGCGATTTCTGGTATCGCTTTGAATATATCGACGGCATCGATACCTATTATTTCTTCTGGACTCAATACTACCTTTTCTACTGTTACTTCCCCCCTATCGACATCGAAACCCGCGACAGAAAGTGACACAACGGATCAAACAGCGCAAAATATTTCTTCTACAGAGGAAAGTGGAATACCTTCAGATGTCTTCAACTGGACATCACACAACGACTCCATGATACCCAAAATCGCCAATAATCCATCGGGGAGCTCGGAAGAAAACGTAGAGGCGAGCTCGGCTGTTTATTACTTTCAAGTTATTTTAATAATTTTCTGTGCAATGGCTGTGGTAGTCATATCAGTGTATCTGACAAAACAGTTGACAAAGAGTAGTTTTAGACGCAAATTCAGGTCTTCAGGACGCAGGGGCACAATAGGGAAGAGGTATAGTGACATTTCACTGCAGCTTCTGAATCGGGAATCCAACATCCTTGATTTACCAAACATTTTGGAGGAAGGCGAGTCTCACGTAGTCGCCGGGAAGGCAGAGGTGGTGGAACACTTCTCGAGAGAGAACAATTCTCCAATGCACTCTCCTCCTCTCACCCCAACGACAGAGAACGGAAGCTTGAAAAGTGCCGACGGCGTCTGGCTGTGAAAACGGATTATCTCTTCTGCAGTGTGAACGAGACTTTTTACGGCTTCGTTAATTCAGTAGGATTGACTGTTGCGAGTGAGATAGACGAGGGATATAGGGATTACCGGCGTTCGAAGAAACAGGCGCTGTGGGAGAGTGTACTGCGATGTGCAAAAGAAGCAATCAATTTGTCATATTGAAAGACACCTTTTTATACTAATCGAATGTAAATAACTCAATGCTAGATCATATGCTTTTGAACAAAAAGATGTTTTTACATTTTGAGGCAAAGAATACATTTAAATAATATAAATTTTAAAATAGTGTCGCCGGACATTATTTGGAAAAGCGTGGTACACAAACTGCTAAGTTTGTTTACAAAATTATCAAATCGCTGAAGTTTCGTAGTGTGTACTCTTTAGATAATTCACATTTGTAAAGTTCCATTAAAAAGTAATTGTTGATCTTATTCTGTTTTTCAAATCCGGAACGTAACATTTTATTCGATCAAAATTAAGAAAAAACCAGATATTTAACATCGGTAAAACTTTAACAAGTGTTATATCTTTATTCTATTCCTTACTAACCCATATAATATTCAATTGCGTAGCAATCGTCATGAGAGCTAAAACTGGCAGCCACTGGGAGAAGAACAAATTCTATTAAAAGAATACTTTTGAAAAGAAAATCATACTATGTGAGCATTGCATTGCAATTATATTTTATATTTTAACCCCACTAAAAATGGCGAAGAAAAGTTGTAAAAGTATAATTTGATAACAGTAAATGACATTATCTTCATACGTCTCAATCAATATCTAAAGACTGCTTTGTGTTTGCAACCAGATGTTTACTCTAGGTTCAATATTAATTTTTTGTAATATTAAATAAAACATTGATTAATTAAGTTATTTGCAACTATTTGTAGCTACAAAATTTTTGAAAATGTAATAGTCAACGAAAGTTATACAGACTCTTTATTACAAATCTTTGGCCGGTTGTATAGTTTATACAGTTCACACAAAAATGTCCTTCTCAAAGTGAAGGAATACTTGGAGGTGTATTCATTAAACGTTTGTTATTTACATTATTTAATGATTCACACATTAGTTAGTGATTTTACTCACACTTGGTCATTATACACTAGGTTATTTATGCACTTGAATTAAGATTTTAATTAAATTAAATATAATTAACAGCTATTTTTGAAGAATTTTATTGAAAAATATTTCAAGTATACTAATGATAATTAAAGATCTATTTTTATTGCCCTCTAATACTGTTGGATAATAAAACGACATTCTATAAAATTGCCTTTCGTGTGCTTACACTTGCTGCCAAGTCCGCTGGAAGGATACCATAACTTTACTTTCTAGCCACGGTATGCAAGTCATCATCGCTTTATGACCTTGAACACTAAAATTCCTTGATGCTTTTCATTTTGCATTGGATAATGAACATGTCTATTTTTTAGTTATTCCGATGGTATCTAGAAATTGGAAATTATCTCGTTCTAAAGAGTGCCAAGAAAACATGAATGATGTATATTGCTTACTGCCATAATGGTTATTGATAAATATAATTTTACTATACACAAATCTAACCAATTTCTCCGAGACGCCAAAGTTCTTTACACCTGCCATAAATTCTTGCGAGGAAGATGTTTAAGTTTAAAAAAAGTGTAAAATCTGTCGTGTTATACATTATGCATCTCCAAAATACGTCGTACCCCTTCAATACAACGTGCTCCTTCAATAAGTGTAACTACTTCCATGTTTCTAAACATGTATGAAAATTACGTTATTTTATGCTCTTATTAGAAATAATATATTTTAATAATTCAAAATATGCACATTTACAGAAGCAGAAATTACTTCAGAGAAATGACTTCATTTATGGATTCATTGTTTACCGTTTGAGCGTGTTTACCGTCTGAAAACGTTACTTATTAAGGAATAATTCATATTTAATATTTACGGAAACTAGTTCGGAAACGCATTTCTGAATAAATCGTTTAAATGTATCGCATTGAATTGTGTCGCTACAATTATAATTGTGCAATTTGTGTATTTCATCTAATATAAGTTTATGTTCCGTGAAAACGTTTTCAATGGTAGAAAGACTCAGTTAACTTCGATGTAGATGCGATTTCCCTTCATTTTCACGGTTGAAACCCCTCAGCGACTGTAAGTAAGGATGAAAGCACTGTGGTCAAACGTACTAGTTGAAAACGTAGGTTTGATGGAGAAAGTTTTTATTAATTGCTTTACGAACATAATCTGTGAAACTCTCTCCTAAATTAGTACAAGTATTGTTTAATTAATACATGTTCACGTAACGTCACTCATTATTGTGAACAAAAGAGTGATAAGTTTTTCCGATTCCTGAATATTATTATATTACAATCTTTGTCTGGAAATAAACTATAATTTGGAAAAACGTTTATATTTCATATACATAGAATGTATGATAACGTAATAACATGCTTGTAAGTAGGTAACAAGGTCAGCAATTAACTGGGTTTAATAATATTTTACTTATTGTTGACGCCCATATGTTTAACTGTTTGTGAAGAACTGATATTTTTTTTCTAATTCGTAGGTGTGTTCTTTTATTCGTTATAGGTTTTTTATAGCTTTTGAACTTAGGTAAGACATGTATGAGTCGAATATAATTTCATTACGCTTTCAAGGCTAGCTGTTAATCTCCGAGGGATTGATGTGAGAACACGGATTAAGGTGAAATTTTGCACTAAATATCAGAGGACTTAATGACAAACCATTTTCGTATATTTACATTGGATAATAAGCATCTCTGCTTTTTTTCAAAAATGAAAGTACTTAAAGGGTATTTTTGCAACTTTGGTCATCAAGCCAATTCCCGATGATGCATTAGATATTTATAAGTGAACACTAACATTACTCTCTTCATGCATCATTCAGCAATCATTCAACCATAGAAAACAACTTCAGTTTAGTTTAGTTGTGACACAAATTTCTATTCGATCTGGAAATACAAATGAACACGGTGAAATAAATAAAAATTCAATAAATATTCCATTTGTTTTTACAGCTTACTGAAATAGTAAAATTAAAAAGAATTGCCGGATGCAATAGTGCACAATGTCCTACATTTTATATATTTCGCCAAGAAGTCCATTTGATAATTTTGCAAAACGTACCAAGACAACTAGCAGTTCATGGAGTGATGATATTCGTGTGCTTCCTATCGGGTCAGGTCAGTCTACATCAACCGTCTCGACCATTAAGGTCCAGCCAGCGCTATCTCGCCGACGCAAGCTGTTCAGGAACCGACCTCTTCCAGGGAGCGAACCGCAGGAGGCGAAAGTAGCCATTTCCGCGCCGCGTGTACGCGCGCTGGTGCGATGTGGGATCCAGTCGCGGAAGGCGAACAGATGAATCAGAGGTGATGGCATGAAAGGAGGGGAACGCCCTTCCTCGCCCACGTCGTTCAGACTATCGAGCACAGGCCGGGCCTCTCCTCGCGTCGCCCCGCCCGCCGCGCCGCCATGATTGATCACCCGACGCCTTCGTCCAGCGCGGGGGCCGGGCGCGATCGGACGTCGAACCCCGGAGCGGCCGCCAGCGGACGGATTTATTTTGCCTACGAGAACGGAAGAGATAGCCCCAAGACTTCCGTTCGGCGGCTCCACCTCATCAATCGTGTTCTTTGACTTGGCGTTCTATTGTGGGGTAGCTTAGTTCACAAAAGACTGCATTTCAGAATCTATTTGGGTTCCTGAAATATTTGAAATTGTGCTTGTACGTGACGAATGGAAAAATAACTGTAAAATTACGTGTGTGTATCAACATATATTAAATCCCTACATTATCAAAATCACAGTGAAATTTGTCTAATAGAGTTTATAAATTTACGTGGAATATCTGCAAATGTTTAGTTTGGAAATGCTGTAAAATGTGAATTGTTAGGAAGTGATGTCAAAAATCGTATTCATTTGTTTGTGCTACATCTGCATTTTGAAGATAACTGCCAGTTCTCCAGGATCCAGGGTAGCCTTCGAATTGCTGATCTTATCGGACACGTGCAGTTGTGATTTGGCCTTCCATGTCCTTCTCAGGAGGTGAAAACCCCAGCGTCACACGCATTATTCATATCAGCAACCCTCGACTAACAGAGATGCTCCAACTGTCCGCGCCCCGGGGTCCGGAAGCACTCCTGTTGCAGCATCTTTTTATTTGGCTGACTCCCACCGCCTTCCTTCGACGGGTCCGGCAAGAGGCTCCGCACTTGGAAGCAGCCCGAAGGTGGAAGACGAGTGCGTTAGCAGCAGCCCCACGGACCACTCCTGCTGGCCGAGGGAGCGGCGACGAACGAAAGTGGCCGTCTCGCGCGCGGGGACGCACTTTCCCTGGCACGGCCGCCCGGCGCGCCGCGCGCGCGGCTGCCCGCGAGGCGGGGCGAGAAACCCGCAATTGGTCGACCACCACCGACACCGCCCCTGGTGCGCGGGTGGCGGAGGCGCGGTGCTGCACGTGCACCCTCCGATCCGCTTGTCGCCCCCCCTCCCCTCCCCTCCCTCCCTCCCCACCGTCTTCCCGCAGGGAGGGGGGGGAGTCGCGTGCGTCACGCGCGCACGGTGGGATGCCACCGTTTGCGTGCGAGGCGAGAGAACTGCGGCGTCGAGCCTGAGCCGCACCCGCCCACCCGCCGCCCCGCACCGCCGCACCGCTCCGCGCCCCGCCCGGAGCCCGCCCCTCGGCCCGCTCTTCGCGGCGAGCCCCGCCGACCGCCACGCACCGAGTCGCGCGAGCAGAATAGAGGTACACCGCCCACGCCAACATTGTGTTATTGGCATTGAGCGGCTTTCTGGGAAGCGTTTGTTATACGCGGGCTTTGAACGTTGTAATAACGCGTTGAAACCGCGAGGGAATAATTTATGGGGGTTTGATCATTTTATGAAAATGGAATAACGAAGCAATAGAGGCATTGACAAATAAATAACGTAATTTTTAAATACCTTGATATCAAATGGTGTCAAAGTAGTCATTATATGGGTTTTGTTCTTATGATATAGTTGCGTGTGTTTTATTGGAAAGCACGTGCATAAAATCAGTCATTGACATTTTGTTAATAATTTATGACGCACATGCTTTGAGGCATTAAATGTGTGTTTATTTCTTTGTAACTATTGATTACTTTTGGTTTCCATCAGTGTCCTATCTGGTGAATTCAATTACCTTACATGTTGTTAGTTAAAACATAAGATACAGAATTCATTTTGAGAGTTCTACAGAATCTGTTGGTAACTGTCAGTTTGTTCGAAATGATTACCAAATTGAATATATCAATAAAAGGTTTAGTGCAAAAATACTGTGTATAAAGAGTCAATAACTTACGTCGCCTCATGGTCTCGCCACCTCAACTGTCTGTTTAAATACATAAAAATTTACACTACAATAAGAGCTACCAATATCTACAACTATATTGATAATAACGTCAAAGGAACAAAAATCACAATGTCAGTTTATGTTTCGTAAATCATTTGCGTTAAAAGAGAAAACTCTATCAGCTTATAATTTCAATGATTCTGTAGAGATTTCAGAAATTGAACTTTGACACTAAAGATTAGTTATAAAATCTGTTTCATTGAAGCCAATTAGATAAAATAAAATATCCCAGATTTTTCTCACGACCCAGCATACAAGAATTTCATTGCTTAACTGTCACTTCAAAACACACCAAATACATGAAAAATTATAGAATCGCATCAATATGGAATTGCCCAATGCTTCTGATGCTTCCATAAATAAATTTAAAAAAATATTCGCCCCAACTCAATACCTTTGACGTGATGGTTAACGTTAGAAGCAATACCATACATTACAAATTCCTTGTACATGAAAACACATTATAAAATCAGATCTGTTACGCATAACTTCCATTCTTTTTATACGTAGTAAACCGACATCAGCTGTTTATTGTATTTTCAATATTCTACGCATTATATTTTTGTTGGCGACCTCACCTATCACTCTATCCTGCTACGTCAATGTCTAAATTATGGTCCAAGTTTAACATAACGCATCCTCTTTCTGAAGTATCACATATTATTATTTTCTGGTCATATTTCAAATATTTCACATGGGAATAATGATTTTCATTGATGCATGCTGAATTTACTGCGGATAATATCAATAATTTGGCTATTTAACCTCTCTCACAAAAAACTCTGTAGATATGTGCTGAAGATAACGAAATTTAAGAATTTAAGCAAAATGTTAGGCCATCATCCGTTATTTATCGAATGTTGATTTTTAGTGAACAACAATACTGATGCTCTAGAGAGTGTAATTTTATTTCATTATTTAAACGATCATGTCTTGTCTCTATCAATAGTTACAATTGAAAATATGTCAGAACTCTAATAAAGTTTGATGATTTTTATTTGTAATTTCACAATATTTAATTTTTTTCAGTGAGGTATGAAATACTACATAGTAATCCGACGAAAATAGAAGATTCATCTCTTTTCCTCAGAGTACTTCAATTTCTAAAACGACACACGTTTTTACACTGATTTTCAGGAATTCTAAAACTAGTCCCGCAGCAGTCACACTGCTGTTGAACAAAACCACACAAAATTGTTTGCCAAAACGTAGCATGCACACTGCTGCAGAATAATAAAATACTCTCGTATAACACTATGAGAATAGGAAGAATAAGAGTAAAATATTTTCATTTTTTAGTCAAAATCGAAACTGTTGTTTTTTTTCGTTGATTTTCTAGCAAAACTCACGCTCTCTCACATTTCATTGCATTTCCATTAAACTCTCGCTCATTGTTTGAAGCGAGTTGCGAAACAGATTTTTGTCATGTTACGACTTAGTATGGGATGCACAGCATTCTAATTATATGCTCTTAAGGTTTCGTGAGTATTTCGAGCCTGCCGCTTCATTCCACAAGCGAAGCGAAGTGTTTTCACTGACGAAAGCCGGTTTGGCAAAAGACCCCGGGGTTTCCTGACCGGCGCTCATCCACTACCGGGCCGGATACTACACTCCTTCAGTGATCTCGCGGTTGTCGGTATTACCAGCAAGACTTAAGATATTTCTGTCCGCTTGCTTGTCTTGAATGAAATATTAGGAGTCAACACACTGGAAACGGACAGTTCTCTTCTATTCACTACTAGCACGTTACGTTATCTCAAAGTGCAATAATATGAGAATGGAGTAAATATGCTATAAAAATGTTGTAACTAGAACTAAAATAAATTTCACATTATACTAAAATATTTAAAACGGTTAGGTAGTAGTAATAGGTTTTACATATATATGTAAGAAAGAATGTTGGTAGGCTGCTCTTTACATTTGACGAAGATAATACGTCGCGATGTTTTATTTTATATTTATATATAATTTATTTAATAATGTATTTATATATAATTTATTTGTATAAAATACATATGAAACTATTTTATTAAAAAATAATTGATATTTTTCATTGATGGATTGTTGGTTTATGACATAATAATGAATTTCTACACTGTATTCAAATGTAAAAGGTCGTACCTAAAAGAGCAAAAATATTAATGGACATTCAATTGTACATGCAAAAATATGTTCATTTTGAAGTAACAGATAAAAAGCATTCTTCAATATTACATTTATTTTGCCCAGACCCGCTCACTGTCTCTAGACTAAATCGAACGAAATAAATAATTCTCAAAACATTTCAATCCATTACGTTCACATTATTACTGTTTCAGAGTACTTTCCATGGACCAGAGAAAGGGGAGGAAAATGAAAGTATGGACCCATACCATCGATCTTGCGGAACGCGGTGGAAAGTCGCTGTGTGCTTTCACAAGTGTATGTCTTTCACGCCTGCTTTTAGACCTTCAATTTGGCCAAATATAGGTCACTGAATCTATATGCATAAATCTATTTCGTAATCATAATTAACTTGACCAAGCATTTATCTGCATTTATCTGACATGTCTATCGTCTTCAAAGCGTCAACATTAAAGAAACTGGAAATAGTACCAACATTTATCCTGATAAATTTAATGTATCATTTTTGTAACTTCTAAATTCATGAAAATAAAATTACAAGAAGGTACACTACGTTTTTGACTAGAATATTTTTTGTGACGATAAATAATTCACTAATTTACTCACTACTTCTTCTGTGTCTCCATTAAATTTACATTCAAGGAGTCTGGTGACATATTTAAATTGTCATTTATACATTACCGTACTTTCTCATTTTGCTCATTGCAATTGAAATTTGTTCAGGAATTATCTCATTTTTTAAAATTTAAATTTGATTTAATTTCGATTTATTTATAATAAGAAGAAAAGATCACTTGAATTATCACAATTGAAATAGCTTATGTTATGATTTCGGGAAAAATAAAATAGCTGATTATATTGACAGAAACACGACCGTAATTCAAATGCATTTCTTCCGGAAACAGGCTTCATCTTTTGTGGGCGAGCAACTGTGGGAGTAAGGAAGAAATCGATGTCAACTTCTCACGATCTCCGGTCGCCCATCTGAGACAAGCATCTCCTTCAAATGTACACGTGGCTGATTGTCAACACCTTTATCTTCCGATATTGTTATAATACAAAGAATCAAATACTAAAAGAAATCTAAACCAATTGATTTCAAAATGTTCCTTTCTACAGTCGTGGTCGACTAGCCCAAATAAGGTCAATCAAACCGCAAACCACCTTTATATCAATTGTATATTATATGAATGAACTGAACGCCAAAACATGTAAAAGAAAAAAATACTCCTAAGAGAATAACTTTAAAAAATGAAATGATCGCTATTGGAAATATCGATGAAAAATACGTTTCTGCTTAGATGCGAAGAAAAGAATGCAATAAATTATTCGCTTGTTTCATCGTAACCATTTATAGATGTAAAGAGAATGATAATTGTACATGCTTTACCTCTAATATGTCGTGTGCGTTACGCATGGAGCAAATTCTTTTCGTGTTCCTTTACGAGTTTTGTACCAACCGTGAAGATCAAAAGCGTAACTGCTTTACCTGAAGGAGCCTTGAACTTGAAAGCGTCTTCAAGTGGTAAATTGTAAATGAAGATACCTCAAGTAAAATAAATGAGACTAAAAAAATTGAATCCTTAAGAACATTTAGTTTTTAACCAGTGTTTTACTAACAAAATTGACATCAAGAAAATGAGAAAAGATTGCACGCTTTCGTCGTTCCAAATAATAGCACTAAGTTAATGCAGATGTAAAAAGAAATGTGTAGTTTTACGGCAATTAATTGTGTTCTCACCGTATCCTCCCCAAATGTATAATTGAAATGCGCATTTTTCTAGCTCTGTAGCTTTTAATATTTCTATTGTCTTGAATACATTAACATACATATGCACGCCAATAATATAAAAACTCGGTTTCATATTTTCCGTTGAATTTATTATTTTTCATTTTTTAACACTAATAAGCAAAAGTATTAAATTTACAAAAATTAAAAATGGATCACATATCATGGAAAATTTGTAAATATTTACTAGCAACCTTGCCTTACTCAAATGAATAAAGTAAAATAAATTTATTACATCCCCGTAGAATTACATAAGGAAACATAAAGCAGATTCTCCATTTTTTTATTCTTGAAAAAACGTTATAGACTTTTGCATCCATATTTATATTACTTTTGTTTAAACAATTATAGAAATATTGAATCTCATTAAAATGGTAAAGTGTTTGCATTATTTCAACTTACGTTAACCACGATGAGTATGCGAATAATTGCATATGAATATAGTTTTCATAAATATTAAATATTATATTTTAACTACTATTAATAGTATATTTTAACTTATTATATGATGATTTGTAAATATTCGTAAATTGTCTGTACGATAAAAGTTGGAAAGTGCTTGTGATAGTTCATGCTAAATTTGCTTTCAGGTTAATCTTGGATTAATTTGATAATAACCATGGATAAAGAGATAAATATATTATAATTTGGATAATGTATTAATATTTCACAGTTCCTACAGAGCTTTTTTAATTACATCACACGTAGATATTTAAAATCAATGTGTGAGACATATGTTACTTGTAGAACAGAAGAACGAGTGAGGAATTGAAGTTCATGAGATTTAAAGGAAAAAAAATAAAGAAATTTTGTAATGGCTCTTGAATTCACGACCACGCTATTAATTATATTATTTTTGTTACCTTAATTATTTATCAAGAAATGACCAACAATCATTAATCATTCCTAGAGGGAATTATGAGTATGTAGTACACTTTTTGGCCTCGCAGTCAGCGTGCTCGCTTTCCATAACGTAAGCCCAGGTTTGAGTCCCGGTCGGGCAAGATTATAGTGTGCGTTCTCCTTGCAATGTCTCAATATATGTTGCTGTGTGACGATAAAACTCACTCCTCACGTTGAGAAAACCAGAATACCGCTCGCGGGCTGTCGCGCCATATGCACAGAGACTGTATGATATTTACTTCGAACTTCATGTCATGAGATTAAGGATTCCTTATATCTTTGAGAGCGGTTAAGCTTGAGAGTATTTTCCTCGACTTCAAAGTCGAGATCCATGTAACACAAGATATTTACCGGGATTTTAAAAATAATTCCTGATAGTGTTTACGTTTAGTGTTACGGATGAGTGCGAATCTGTCTAATTTTCGAATTAGATGGTTAATATTCTCATTATTCAATATGGGTGAGTAAAGTTTGAAGTAGGAACAGTTTTAAAGCATACTACGACCTGGACGGATAAATTTGGTATTATACCAAAGTCATTTAGGCAAAAATAATTTATCACTCACGACAACTCATCAACAAAAACTGCAGAATAATCCGCTCGAGATATTTTTCAATATCAGTATCGTCTATATCCAGCGTACATAATTTACATGTTAATTGAAACGATAAATCTTATTTGATAAACTCCAAAGTTTTAACTTAATATATATTCTTCAAATAATTGAAAGGTGAAAGTTTCTAATGAAAGAAATTCTCTAAGTTGCATTTGTGTTATTTTGTACCAAATTGATTATCTCGTTTTAACCGAACTCGATGACCTGCGAATTTGAAACGGATATCTTAAATTTTGGGGATACTTTATATATCTTTACCGCATGTTAAACATTTTCTCAACAATGTATCAAAATTTTTGATTATTTCTTTGGGAGAATAGAGCAAAGAACGGTTAAATAATGGCGCACGCCTAATCTTCGTTGAACTTTCTAAATTTTTGAAAATTTCGAAAGTTAATAAAAATTGTCGTTTTCATCCAACTACAATATTAGAAAGATTTGAAAAAATGAAACCTGTTCTTCAAAAACAGATCTTTAAAAACGGGAAAGTAAATGTTGCGTGAAATGTAGCCGATTTTTAAACTATTTATTTCTCAAAAACATCTCGAAATGTTTTCTTTAATTTTTTCTCCAATGTAGCAAAGGACGCTAAAACTGTCGGAAGTCCCATTTTCGGCGCTCTCTGTATTTTGAAAATTTTCAAAAAAATTAAATTGCAAAAACACAATATTGATATATTTTTTGTTCTTTAAATTATGTTGTAAAAAGTATATCTTGAAGTAAAGTCATATAATTTTTATGAAAAAATAAATAGTTTTTTGCATATATTTTAAAAGTAAAGGCAAATTATGTTTTCTCAAAAAACAGGTCCAAGTATTTTCTTTATTTTTCCTCAGCTATAACAAAGGACTCTAAAAATAATGGTGTAGATCTCATTTTCGGTAAACTCTCTGTAGTTTCGAAAAATTTTAAAAGTTACAAATATTATGAGATAGTATGTGCAGATGTAGCTAGTTTCAAAAATAGGCCTATTAGTAGTTTCCTTATAATTTTGACCGCGACAGATTTCCAATCACGTCGCAATACAAGAATGGGTACGACGAGACACATTGTTGGCAACACTGTTTCGCGTTGTATATGTCGCAAATTGGATTCGAAGGAATGTTTTAGGTTGTTGAATCTGTGTTAATGAATTTACTTTAAAATAATTAATGTTCGCATCTCTTGTGATAATGAGTTTTAGCAGTGATGTCTGAGATGTGATTATTTGGACAGAAATTGCAGTATTATATTATTAGGTAATGAGAGAAAATACATGCTATTGTAGCTCTACTATTTTCTAGTCAAATCCACCTTAAAGCTTTAGCGTTTGTAATCGTACTATATTTTCTTTCGTTTCCTTTGAAACAAATAAAAGGAGTCCTTCAGTACGTCTAATGAGGACCTTTTTTTCAGAGGCGGTGAGAAATTTTCTATACATCCTGTGCATTTTTTAGAACGAATGTCAAAACATTATTTGTCACTATTATTGTATCTGTAGAAGGATCTTCGAGTTCCGATGGTGACGTAAATACTTCATTTGAATAACGTTTATGCCTTTCTTCGTTTTCGCATATTCTGGAAATATCATCGTATCAATGTAGTTCGTAGTAGAATATCGTTACCGTAAGCGCCATTAAATTCTTCAAAGTCTCTGATCTCAAATTCTTTTAATACTATTTTTTTCTCAAAACATGTTTCAGGTATTTTAAACTAGAGTAGCTTTCAAGGTACGATAATGAAAGTAACAGCATGGGGTACATACATGCATCATCAAAATTTCAAAACTACTTCTGATGAGTGGGTGTCCAACTCTTAATAACAAAAGGTATCGCATTATTCGTAACGTTTGCAACTTTTGATAATTCAGAGTTCAACAAAAATTGGGCCATTATTATAAGCTGTCTGAAAAAGCTAATTAAAGAATAAATTTGGAGCAGTTTTCAGAAAATTTTGTTTATAAAATTGTCTTATTTCATTCAAAATTACGCAAAAATTACTCTTACTTTGAAAGTATTATTCATAACCTCATATAAAGATTTAGTTGTGAAGAAGAGATTTAAATGGAAAAAAATCTTTCAATATTATAACTAGAAACTTGGCGGAAAAGTTAGGTAATCAATAAAGTTAACAAAAATTCAAGGATTTGACAAAAATCGGGCCTTCTCGTGGTTTATAAGCGTACTGTGCTCAATTTGAGAAGAAAATGTACGGAAAGAATTTCAAGCCGTTTTGAAGAAAATTATTAAAATTTTCTTGCGGCTTCATGTAATCTACCTCCCTCAATTCAATCCAAATATCCGTTTCAAATACGAGATTGCGACATCAGTTAGATCGATCGGGGAATATCAATTTGTGTAAATCCTGCCTATGGTTTTCTCGCTAGCATTCTTCACATACAGATGGACAAACTTTATGCTGTAAACCAATTTTTCGGTATCAAGTATCCTCACAAAGTGGATTCTGAATACACGAAGTATTGCAGGAAGTTATTTAATACATATAGGAACAAGAAATATCCCCTTTTTCGGCATCAGTAATTTATGAAACTAGTTTTTTGTCGAAAATTACTGTTTTATGCTCTAGCTTTGCAATACTTCCTGTATACTACGTAAGTCATTCGAGGGCTGCAATAGTGGCACAACTCAAAAAGTCAGGTATTGAGATAAATGAGTTTGAAGTTTATATCTTGCATTTAAATGCTTTATTTTTGCGTTCACACTTCTGTCGTTTGTTGGTGGAGTGCTGTACTGTAAAATACGTTGCTGTTGCAGCTAGAAGGTAGACCAATCTTCAATTCTGGAGAGTGCATTAACTCAAAATTCGTATTTTTCGAGTTGTGTCACTGTTGCATCCCACGAGCGAAATACTATTCGAGAAAGTAACTAATGGTGCTAATGCAATTTAGTTTCTCGTATTATTTCTAACTTTTGCAATATTGGAAAACAGAGTTCATCAAAATAAGTTCTGAGAAAGTCTTTCAAGCGTCCTTTTTTCTATCCGAGGAAGAAATTAAAGAAAAAATTTGGGACCGTTTCTGAAGAAACATTGTACTGTTTATTTATTTCAAAAAAAATTACCCCAAAACTATCGTTTTGGGGAAAAGAATTAAGCTAAAATTGCCTATATTTCACGCAAAATTACTCAAAACTACTTATATTTACGAAAAATTGTCAATAAACTTATTTAAGATGTCTTTGAAAACATATTTCTTTAAGGAAACAATATAATCTTCAATATTGTAGTTGTAGAAAGAAGCGGAAAAAATTTGGAACATTT